TGATGATGATGATGATGATGGCTCTAATGAAAAACTATCTGCACAATATTTATTGTGTGTGAAACAAGCAAAAAAATCTAAAAAACAAAAGAATATTATGGTGATAGATTTGAAAATAAAGGGTTAAAGTAAGCAAACATCAGTAGAAACAAACAAACGAAAAAAAAAGTTAATATCTCAATTACTTTGCTGATAAAAAAATAGTGACTAAAACATTGTGACAATAAGGCTATTTTAACAAAGATATAAATCTTTACAGAGATCAGATTAAAGAAAAAGATCAAAAAAAATAACGTGAATGGAGAATACAAACAGAAAATTTTCACTTGTATTATTTTTGCCCATTTGTAAAATGAATGAATGAATGAAAAAATTTCAAGTGAAAATGGATCGCCTCTGTAATTCGATAGATGTCAATCAATCTTTCTCCACCGATTTTGTTTGTTTTGTATCTTTCGACAAGGGAAAAAAACGATGTTTTTTTTTGTTGAAAAATTTCAAGTAAAAAATTTAGAAAAACAAAAATTAAAAATCACTAGGTAAAAAAACTCAATCAAGATTACATTAAATAATACACGAACAAACGCACACACACACAAATCGATTATCGATTAAATGTTGATAATAACAAGGGATATCATCATCAGTTGATTTTTGATTTTCAGAAGGGAAAAATAAAAAATCTTAATCCATTTTTGGATTAATAATTTATTAAATCGATCAATCGATCAATTGAAAAATTTTCTCAAGCTAAATTTCCGACCAAGTAGGAAAAAAACATTTTCAAAAATGGATGATAATAATGATGATGAATTTCTTAATCAAAAAAGGATCATCAAAGATTCTCATGATGAATCATTTCATCGAAATCCATTTAAAAAATATATATGAAAATGTCACCTATCGTTTGATCAACTTTTCGGTTTCAAAACTTGCTTGTCTTTTTGTGTGTTTTCCCCTTCTTATGATTAATCGAGCATGTTTGAACAACAAAAAAAAAGAAGAAGAAATTAGTGTACAAATCGTGTATCAATCTGATGATTACATTACATCCATTTCCAATTGTGTAAATTTCCATACTCTGTGTGTGTGTGTGTCTTTGATTTGTGTAAATCAAGATCAAAATCAGAGAAAAAAGATAGACTTTTGATTTGATTTCTTTAGTCTGTTCACTTACTATGTCCTCGTATCCTACAAGTTTAAATGAATAGATAAACTTCATGATGATGGTGATCATCATCTTCTGCATGAATGAACGGTATATTTTTTTTCATTTTCAAAACATTTTCCAAACAAAACAACAATATCCACATCAGTATGTCAACCACCGGTTTGTTTTGCGCTGTATATGGATTCTTTTCCCCTTTTGTATTTCTGTATCCCGTTAAAATGTGACATCAAAATCAATAGATCGATCGATCGATCGATCGATTGATGATAATGACAAGGTTAATATTTATTTATTTATTTATCCCTGGTCACTTGTTTCAAGTTGAACAAACAGACAAAGCAAAACATTTAGGTTTTTTTTCTTGTTGTTGAAGGACCATGTTGACGTTCAATATTTTTTCCAGCCCCCGAACGAAAAAACTTTTACTTTACAAAAAATGATTTAAAAGTTTCTTTTTTCTCCGAAAAAAAATCATTGTCATTATGAAAAGTGAAAAACTTAAAGTGAAATTTGAAATGATAACTAAATCAAACAACAAAAAAACAAAAAATGATTCCATTCGATTCGATAAAATCATTTTTGATACGGACCAACGGTTGGTTAGATGGATGGATGAATGGATGGATGAATGAATGAAAAGATGGATGGATTAGATTGCCCGATTTCATTTTATTCATTTCATTCATCATTCGAATCAATCGATTCGCGAATCACATAATCATTGCACCAATTTAAGCAAGAAACAAAATTTTTTTCATTCGTTTGAATTGTTTTCTTGATAATAATTGTAGTCGATTATTTTGATAGAAAATTGATCGAAAACAGCTGAAACTAAACTGAAATTCAATATTGTTTGTCATCATTCACCAAAAAAATGTTTGATGTGATTGAAACTTTTTTTTCCATTGAATTCTCGAAGAAGAAAAAGAAACAAGAATTTGAAATGGAATTGAAAAAAAATTCCCCGGTTTCATAATAATAATGATTGGAAAGAAAGAAAGACAGGAGAAATTTCTTTTTCTTTTTGCCATCAAGCAAAGTTAATTGATAGATGAGAGAAAGAGACCAAAACCACCGATAATGATGATGAAAACATCAGGATGATGATGAATTTGATGAAACCGAGATTCTTGTTTTTCCTATGTTTTTTTTCATCAGTTGAACATTTGACAAAAAAAAACAATTTCCTTTTTTTCGGTAAATTAAAGTTCCGGTTGTTGTTGTTGTTCAACAGCTTCCAAAATGAGCAAAAAGAAACTTTTGAGCTTCTTTTTCTCCATTCATTCATTTCAAATGAAATTCAGGAATTGAATTTCTTGATTGAGAAATCTTTGACATCAAAGATTTTCGTTTCGTACAAATTTTTGATGAAAACTAATTTTAAACTTATCCTTATTGATGAATTATTATTGACTTGCGCTGTGGAAAAGGAATTTTATCAATTTCGAACAATCTTTCGGCAGACAATACCCGGAAAAAGAAATACCCGAAAAGAATCCCAAAAAAAAACAAAAATTTTTTGTTCCTGAATAAAAGTATTTTATCCACTAAATTGATGAATGCATCAAAGCAATGATTTTCTACAACCATAACAACAGCATATTGAAACAAACTTTAATTTGTTTCATCATCATCATCAATATATACACCCTGTATATATTTTCAATATATTTAAGTGAGTATGAGTGTTTTTTTTTTTTGGGTATAATTTGATCAATTAGATAGAGTTTGGATTTTCTTCTTCGTCTTCTCCTTGTTCTTGATGTTCTCTTCTTCTTGTGATGCTCGATCATCAGTCCTAAAATCTTCATCAATCAATTAGGAAGATGTTTGTAAAGAGAGAGAGAGAGAAGAATGATAATATTGCGCACATATTATACAAATAATTATTTGTAAATGTGATGATGATGATGATGATGAAAGAAGAGAAATGCCTGTTGACAATGAATTCATCCATCCATCCATCCATCTATTTAGATCATCCATCAATTATGTTGCCATCAAATGACAAGAATGTGACAACAACGAAATAAAAAAAAATTTCCGACCATCATCATCAGAATGCAAAAGAATGAGAAAAATTTCGATGATGAAGAAAGAAGAAACAAGCAAAAAAGAACCTGATCTACATTTTTTTTTTGTCTTTTAGTTTTCGCTTATTACTACGTTTTAGGGATTGATTGGTCGATTGAATAGAGAGAGAGAGAGAGAGAGTAGTGAAGAACTTGATGAAAAACTTACAGAATCCAGAATTTTCATCATTCAATTTCATTTACAAGCAATGTAGAGAGAGAGAGAAAAGAGGAAAGAATAAAGACAGATTGTGTTATTTGACAAAATTCTTTGCATACACAAACGCACACACCTTATTCAGAAACTTATGAAGAAGAAGAAGATAGATCTATTTTTGGGTGTTAATTTTCTGTTGTGAATAAGTATCAATCTTCAAAAAAACAACAACATAACGGATATTCACATTCATTCATTTTCGGAAAAATAATTTTGTTGTTTTCATCAGAAACATCATCATCATTGAGGCATAAAGACTTTACTCTAGGTTGTTCAAATTAATTGTCATTTCACGAAATTCTTGTTCATTTCGAATTCATTTTATAGAAAGTTTTGTAATTAATTGATATATATCCTTGATGTTTGGCAAAAATAAAAACAGACACAAATGAAGTGATCAGGAATCAGGAACAGAAAACAGAATCATTAGAATTCTTCATTAATTTCTTGAGAATTTCAAAAAGTAAAAAAAAATTCAGAATTTCAAACAGAAATTATAAATTCTGTAACCGTCAGCAGTCAAATGAGAATAAGTCAAAGGTTAGTTCATCATTTAAAACAATTAGCATCCATTTTTAGTATACATCATTTGACAACAACAACAACAACCAAAATGCTAATTGAATTTATAAGAAAAAAAAATTTCTCTAAATTTTTTTACCAAACAAAAATCATCATCAAAGAATCTTAATTTGGAAAAAAGAACAAGGGAGAAAAAGACAAACAAGCAAACAAAAACAAACACAAAACGAATCTTTGCAATCTTCTAAATGAATGAATGACATTACACACACACACATCGCATGACATAAGCTGACAGTGAAAAGGTAGTTTTGAAATTTTGAAATTTTCCCCCTTTCCCTACCCCTTTTGAATAGCAACATTCATTCATTGATATCCAGAAAACAGATATTTCTTTTTTTTCAAAACAAAATTAAAATCAATGTCTGAATTTTTGAAAGGGTTAAATAACCAGATGATGATGATGATGATGAAAAACAGAATGATTCTTTTCTTTTCAACATCATTCCCTGTATATCTCAGTGAGAAATGAGTGACAAAAGAGTTTATTTTTTCTTTCGAAAAGAAAAATAAAATTTTGAAAAAAAATTGAAATTCAAGATGAAAAACAAACAAAAACAAACTTTTTAAAAAAAATATTCAGGATTATTTCAGTTGACGTGTGTGTGGCAAGTCGGCATTGTCATTTTCATTTGCTTAAATTCTACTTTTGAATGGTCTTTTTTTTATTCAAATTGTCTATGTGTGTGTGTAAATTATATTTTAATTGATGTGACATTTGATTTCTCGTATTTCAGTGATTCCATTACCAGTGAAGAAGAAAAGATTCAGACTTTTATTTTCAACATTCTATAGAGAAAAGAAAGAAAAGAAAAAAACTGTTACGAATGACAATTGTCAAAGATAGATGTCAAGACAATGTTGTGATTAAAGTCAAAAGAAATTTCTGATTTTCGATTCGATTTTCATTCATTCATTCATTCACAGAGTCTGATTGTCAACATAATCATTCAACAACTCAACTCGATTCTTTTATCGTTGTTGTTGTTGTTTTGTCGTTAAGAAAACTTGATGTCGTCACTTTTATTTTCAAGAAAAAAAAATTTACAGTTAATCAAAATGTTTATTTTTCTGAAAATAAACAGACAGAAAAATTCTTCTTGAATGAAAATCTTTTGACTGACAAATGAATACAAATGATGATGATTTTCAATGAGAAGATTGTTGTCATCATCATCATTGATGATATAATTGAACCAGGAATTAAAGAAGAGAAAAAACTTTTAATTGAATGAAAGACAATTATCACTTTGATAATTAAAAGCACAGAAAAAAAACAAGGAAAAATTCTTGTCAATCATTTTTTTCAATGGCAACATTCATGTTTGATTTATCTATCTTTTGGATTTTTGAAAATATATTCAGAATAGCAAATTCCTTATTGATTTTCACTATACATGTTCAACAATGATGTTGATGACTACTGGTGATGACAGAATAACAAGAAAAGAAAACTGCAAATTCAATTGACAATTTCTGACTAACAAAAAAACGAAAAATTGCTCTCAGCATTGAAACCAGCCTGAATTAAGATGTTTTCATTTTTATTGATGAATTTTTCTTTTCTCCATATCATCAAATATGATTATGATTGAATTAAATATATTTTCGACTATTTTAACAGCAACAACTATTTTATTGAAGAATTTTCTTTGAAACAAGAATCGTAAAGAAAAAAAAAATTTTTGAAAGCAAAAAATGAGAACATGGACATCATTGATAGACAGGACCATAATAATAATAATAATAACAAGGTCGCAAGAAACAATAACCAAAAGAAAGAAAAAGAAGTGAATCTGACAGATCCATTCACATCTTAGTGTGTGTGTGTGTGTCATAATAATAATATCCATAGTATCCTGAAGATATGGAGAAGCGAAAACAATAAATGAAGAGATATATGATTGCTGTCATTTGTAGTCGTCGTCGTCATCTTCTTCTTTTTTTTTGTGGATATCTTTTGAATTGTACTGACAAAATCTATCCTAAGGCTAATTAGATATAAAGAATCCAATAGAAGATGTACGACGAAAATGATCCAAATGACAACAACAACAACAGAAGAGGATCAAATGATGAAGTTGCTTTGGTTAGTTAGTTTATTGTTGTTGTTGATGATGACAATGACAATGACAATGGATAATGTCATATCCAAAAACGAAAAACGAATATTATTATTATCTATGATGATGGTATTTAAAGTGTGAATCATAGATAGATGACAAGAACTTGATTTTTTTTTTGTCTCAACAATATCTTTGTTGAATAATAAGAATAGTGTATGTGTAAATGTCAGATATTTTTAGGAATATTCTTTTGGAAAAAAGCCCAATAGCATGAACAATCTTATTTAATTTGAAAATATTCACTGTACAGTTGGACTGATCCAGAATTAGAAGAGAAAAATTTTCATTGATGAATGAATGGAATTAAAATGACAAACAATGTTTGATAATGAAATGAACAAACATCATTTATGAATGAATAAAATGAATGAACAAACAATACAAACGTAAAAAAGTAAGAAAATTTTTTTAAATTTGATTTTCACACCTTTCCACACTTTCCAATCTATTAATTAGTAAAATTCATTCGGATACGTTATCTATGAAAGTTCCTTTGGAATCAATGTCGATAACGAATCAACCTTGCCAAGCAAAATTTGTTTTTTTTTGCGAAAAAAATACGTCTGATGTGTCGTCCAATATTTTCGTCGTCGTCGTATGTCATTTACACAAACGCTTCATATTGAATTCAAAGAAAAATGAAAAAAAACCTGAGACATACAAATGATGATGAAAGAAAAGAAAAGAATGGAAGAAAAAATCAGGATAATATATATCAGCAAGTGTCGATTCTGCCAAAACAGACATAACGAACGAAAGAAAATGAAATGAAATGAAAAAAAGAAAAATTAAGCTTTGGGCTATAATTTTCTAGATTCTTTTCCTATCTTCATTTTTGAAATGATAACAACAACAACAACAACAGGGACAACAATGAAGATGTGAAAAAGATGACGACCATCATCATCACAATCACCAAAAAAAGAAGAAAAAATGACAAAGACAATATGATATGTGACAAATACAGATTTTTAGTGCAAATTTCTTTTGATGTTTGTAAAAGAATCTCGAATAACAAACAGAATGAAAAAAATTTTATAAATAACATTTACCTGTGTTTTTTTTTGAAAATGTTTGAATGTTGATTTCTTTTTCTTTTCCTTTATTCTGTTATTTTATTTCCTTTGCATAATGTCCATCGAACATCAAGAACCGAACGTAACAACAAAATCAAACAGTCATCATACTAATCATCAACGAATGTTTGTGAATATAAAAAGAGGATTATTCTGTTTCGTTTTTTCCGGACGATAATCATTTGAATGAATTTCAATAATCATCATCATCAGATTCTATATTCAAATAACGATTTTTTTTTAAAAGAAATCGGATATCGTTTTTATTCTGAAAATTTTTTATTCTTCTTTCCTGGCGTTTCAAAAAATACTAATAATCCTTAAGAAGAATCGAATGACTGGAACTATGTTTGTGAAAAAAAAGACCCATATTTGCCATTGACCATGTCACCGTTACATTTATACACGTGATGATTTTCAAAATTCAAAATATTCACCAAAAAAAGGTCAGATGAAGAGAAAGTGGAGAAAACGAAATTCATTTTACTATTGAAAAAAATCACCTAAAGGTCTAAATGTCATAGCTAATAAAAACGAATTTTTTGGGTTTCCTGTTTCCTGTTTGTCCAGAATATTGTTGAATTTTGATTGTTGATCAAAAGATTAAGATTGATATTTGATTTTACTGTTGTTGTTGTTCATCAACCAGATTTATTCTTGAAATTTCATATGAAATCAATGGAGAAAAGAAAATGATAATAAAAATTCAAAAAAAAAAACATTCTAATTGAATAAATATCGAAGGAAAAAATCAGAAAAAAGAACTAAACTAAATAAAATTTTTCGAATAAATTAAAATAGCCTTCGGTCATTTTGTTTTGGATTCTGTTTTTTCTTTTTCATTCATTCATTTACTTACACAATCGATTCTAACAAGAATTTTATTCTTTCACCAGCACTTAGATAAGAATGTGTGTATGATTGGTTCATTTGGGTTTGAAAAAAAAGTTGTAATGTCCTGTGTGTGTTGGAGAGAGAGTGAGAAAGGAAAACAAATTGAATTAAAATTGAAATTTTTCATAGAAATTACCAGAGAAAAAATCAGATTTTTTTTCTGTTGTTATTGTTGTTGCTGAGAAAGAGAATATTCTCTTCATTAACACCAGAATATGAATCAACTGGAACTTCAATCGATTTTTCTTTGGTGCATGGAAAAAAATCATTCATTCATTGACAATTAGTTTTGTTTTTTCTGTCGAAAAGAATTGAACAGGAAAATTCTGGATGTCAAAATGGATTAAATTCATTGCGGCTGGTGAATTGAATAACGGTGGGTAACGGTTGGAGTAATCAAAAGATCATAACAAGATTAATATTTTTCAGGAATCTAATCTTATCTGGATCATCATTTCACACAGCAATCAAACAGCAACAGAAACGATCAAAATCATCGAAAACAATCGATAATGAACCGGGAGAAATTTTTTTAAATATTATTATTATTTTGATGATGGTTAATTATGGTTTAGAAAAAAAGTTAATTAACTTCTCATTAATTTCATCATGATAATGATAATGATGATGATGATGAAAAACAATTGAATTTTCCGCAACAACAAAAAAAAAATCAAAGCTGTCGCTATTATGGATGATGATGATGATGATTTAAAAGTTGATGATATAATTTTCTTCTGTTTGCAAACCAGAAAAAAAAGCTCAATAGCCGATAATTAACTATGACTTTATTTCAAAAAAAAGGGTAATGAAGTAATTATCGATTTATGATCGTTGAATAAATGAAAAGAGAGATAGAAAAGAATATTTTTAAACCAAAACCATGGCAAATGATAATCACATTTTGTTATTTTTGTCATTTTCAACGGAATTCAAAAATCAAAAGAAAGAAAAAAACAATAAACTTTTTGAAACAAACAAACAGAAAACATCTTGGAATATTCTTGGAAGAATCTATCAATGGATAGATGTCAATTCAAATCAAAAAACAAAACAAAACATTCGACAAATACAAAGATAGAAAGAGAGAAAAACACACTTGACATCATCGACATGTCATCATAATCATCATCATCAATTTTTTTTTCTCTTTTCTTCGATATGTCATTCCAAATGGAACAAAACAAATAGCCGAAATGAAATGATGATGATAGTCGACATTCGATAAAATTTTCTCTCTCTTTCTTGACGCCCGATTACGATCGACATAAACATATTATGACAACAAACATCATCATCATCATCATCAGAAGCAGAATTTTTCATTCCCCCCCTTGGATTCTTATTTGGGGGAAAAGAAATTTACACGATCAATCGATCCATACAGAATAAGTGAGAAAAAGAATAAGTGAGTGACAGGCATCAACAACTGCTGCCTGTTTGGTTATAATGAAATTGAAAGTTTTTTTATTTTATTTTATTTTATTTTCACGCCACCATCATTGAGCTTTTTTATTTTGAAACGATTCTTAAACAATGAATTGAAACAGTGAAATGAACAGGATAGAAATAAAAACAACAACAACAAAATCAAACATGTCATTTGATCGAAAAAAAAATAAAAATTTTTCAGTTGGATCGGGCCAAATCTCACACAAGATTCACAAGGAATTGTCAAAATGGCAAGTCCTGTTGTTCTGTTTTTGGGCTCCTGTCGATGTTCATCAATAATCTTCATTATTTTTTTTTTTTTGAAGGAAAAAAAATTGATCATCAAATGATGGGAGAATGGAGGAAAAACTTTAAAAAAATGAAGTCAATTTTCATCATTTTGACGATTACAAGCATTTTTTGACAATAATCATCGTTGTAATAGAGAGTGAAAGTGACAAAATTTTCAAAGTTAATTGTGTTAAATATCTCT